CCTTGCGCTTCCGGTCGTTCGTGCGTGGATACTCGCAGAAGCTGGTGGTTCTGCAAATCAAAATAACAGGAAGTGTGTAGGAAAACGTGCTGAAAAAAAGCGACAAACTTTTGCTTTGTTGAGGAGACGTCGGCATGCGGCGTCATTCATTACCAAAGGGTCCTCACTCACTGTTCCAACAAGGAATTTCGGATGACAAGAAGCAAGTCGCACATGCTCCAGCAGCTGCAAAATCACTGAATGAAGTACTGTGATCAGATACTGACACGGAATTATCCCTGCCTTTGAGGAGGAATGTACGCCGATTTGCCTGGTCATATCTGACCCATCTTGTCACAGCTGCGAAAATCTGAAAGAACGACCTGTAACTCACCACAGGAGGTAAGGAAGCAATAAAGAGTGGAAACATGGTTCTAAGTCTAGGAAAGAGGCAGTATATACAGGGGGAGGCAAAAAAAGACTTTTCTTCCTTGACTTTCGAGGCGCTATAAGTTACACTTTATTGAATTCTTATCGGACATTTCTACCACCATATTAAAGAGCATATTAAATACTATCATGATACTCCGCCACAGCCTTCTGGAGGAGCGCCATCGAGAGATTCTGCCACGCGACCGTGAGTGGGTGCCTGAGTTCAGCGAGATCGTTGATTTCTCCGCCACTGTAGACCACCCTATTGAACTCCGCCCGAACCAGGTAATTGAGGGGGTTCCATGGTGTCACCCAATCCTGTAGCAGTACGCTCCCAAGAAGGTACGGGCGACGACATGTAGGGAGGATATTCTTCTCGAGTTGCTCGATGTAACCGCCAGCGCTCACCTTCAGTCGGGGTCCGAAGAAAATATCGGTCTCTCCATTCCAGGTACGTCCGGTCCCCACCATCAACTGGCGCCTTGGCGACTGAGGTGAAGATGATGTCCTAGACCGTAGCGACGTTGACGGAGCTGCTCGATGATGGAGGTCTTCCAGATCGAGAGTACTGCTCTCCAGGTAGCTATCCATGGGTGACTCCATACTAGAAGTTTCGCAGCTGTTTGGAGGTGACATGAATTCCAAAGGTCTTCTCCAGTCAGGCTGCGACTGGAGATGACTTCATATTTTGGTGTACATGAAGGTGATGGGCGAGAGCCAGCTCCTGCTTATCGAGGAACATCTTGGGTATCTTCCGCCCTGGTACTCGTATCCACGTCCTCTGTCTGGGCTGCGAAAACTTTGCTGATATCTCGGTCGAAATGTCTTTTTTTTGCCCCCCCCCCTGTAATTGTGCCCTTGGACGCGCTGAAGGTGAGGAAGCTGTCAATCGCCGGGGTGAGGCCGGGAAGCTAGAACGAGGAATACTCTGCGTCCCACCTGCAGAAGGTTTTTGCTGGTCGAAAGAGAGGGTATTGTATGCACTTGCTGCCCCTGCGCACTTAATTTTGCGCGCATTTTGAATACTGTATACCTCCTCTCTCCCCAAACGTTTGTTTCAATAGATTGGAATTTCAAGTCTGCTCCTCTTCCCTGAGATCGCATACCTTTTCCTCTGATCGTAGATTCCACTCTTCACTTGAAATTAGTTTGGCTAATCGATTGAAAGAGAGCAGGTTGAAGTTCTCGCTCTCAGCAACTTTCTGAAGAAGAAAAGCGAAATCGTTGCTCAGAATTCAACAACTGCCTGCATTTCAGCATCAAAGCGAGAACCTGGAAATTCTGGATGATGTACATGTCAGTGCAGCGAAAAGCTCCTGACAAGAATGAGAATCGGCAGTCGCTTGAACTTCGAGGCAATTCGACAGGACCCAAATTCTTTTTCAGAAACTCGCAGCAGATTCCTTCAAATAGAAAGTATTTCAAGCCCCAAAACTTCGGAACCGCGCCTCGCGCTCAAAAGTGGTGAGCTGTGAGGTATAACCACCAATGGCGAAATTGGTAAAAACAAAATCATGGAGAAAAAATCCAAGAATCGACCAGAAATGCCCCATGTGGTCCCCCATTCCAGAGCGAGCTTTTGGGTGGCGAAGAAAGGGATTGGTCTGATGAATTCACCTTGTGGGTGCACTTCATCGTCTTTTGGGCCGCGTTCATAGCTTTGCGACCACCTGAAGGAAATGCAGAAATGCCGGAAAATGGCAGATGGGAAAGTGGGCAGGAGTGCGGAATCTGCAGAAAAGGCAATAAAATACGGTATGCGACTTGAAAGAAATGCACAGAATGCCGAAACTGCAGACGTGCGGAAAGTGCAGAAATGACGAAAAGCATTACATACGTATCGATTTGAAGAAATGCAGAAATGCCGAAAGTGAAGAAGTGCGGAATCTGCAGAAATGCCGACAGTGCGGAATGTGCAGAAATGCCGACAGTGCGGAATGTGCAGAAAAGCAATGGATACTTATCGACTTGAAGAAATGCAGAAATGCCGAAAGTGAAGAAGTGCCGAATCTGCAGAAATGCCGAAAGTGTGGAAAATCGATACGTATCGGTTGCTTTTCTGCACATTCCGCACTGTCGGCATTTCTGCACATTCCGCACTGTCGGCATTTCTGCAGATTCCGCACTTCTTCACTTTCGGCATTTCTGCATTTCTTCAAATCGATACGTATGTAATGCTTTTCGTCATTTCTGCACTTTCCGCACGTCTGCAGTTTCGGCATTTCTGCATTTCTTCAAGTCGATACGTATCTATTGCTTTTCTGCAGATTCCGCACCTCTGCACTTTCCGCACTTCTGCATTTTCCGCATTTCTGCATTTCTTCATGGTCGCAAGCTATGAACGCGGCCTATATCCTCGAGATTGAGAGAACTTGTAGCGGAACTACCAAACCACCAGGATACCTCTCGAAATGAGGGTTGGGAGGTGGAGGCGCGATCCATGAAAAATCCAGGACGAAGCATCCATGTGGTACATTCTCACTGTTGGCGCACCATATGTGTTGCG